GCTTCTAGGAGCCTCTCTGGAAGTTCTTTAAATACAGTTTCTCAGACAGTGAAGACAGCTTTGGGGGCTGAGGAATTCTAGGAATTGAAGTCCACAGGTCATTAAGGTGCCATAGTTTTCCACCCTCACTAGCTTAAGAGGATGGTGCCAACATTGACTCAGAATACAGTTGTGTTCCTGGTGTCCTCCTAGACAAAGTAGATCTAGAAGGGCTTTTATTTAGCTTTGACTATTGCATCAGTTATGGCATTGCCTAGAATAGGGGTCTCCAACCTTGGCAACTTTAAGACTTGTGGACTTCAACTCCCAGAGTTCCTCAGCTAGCAAAGCTGAGTCTTAAAGTTCCCAAGGTTGGAGAGCCTGGATCCAGAACACACCTGGTCAAAGAGCAGAGAATGGGGGGGGGGGGTTTCTCCTGTGTGCTGCTTGGGGAATCCAAGCATGGGTTAACTTTGTCCATTAGCCTAGAGACTGAGTTATGTAAATTGGTGACCACGCTTCCTCTGACTGGATGGGTCAGTTTTTTAACTCAGTCCAGCCAGAAGAGACGTATACCAATTTTCTCCAGACTAATTGACAAAAATTTTTACTCATTCTTGGATTCAACACGTTGGTGAAAGCCTTTGGAAGCGTTATTGCAGGTTGAGGGGAGAGGCGGCAGTTCGCTGCCTGCCCAGACCTTCTGTGCCTCGCGGAGTTTGGGCCAGGTAATTGCAGGCTCCTGGGGCCATTGTGTTCAAGGCTAAGTGGCTGCGGCTGCCAGCGTGGGCTTAATTCGCCGCCGTTTTTCGCCGATCGCTTCTGGGCTACTTCCCGCTGCGCTAATTGCTTGTGAGCCACCCGCTGTTCGCGCCACGGTTCTGTTCAGCTTGATTGCCACTAGCGCCGCCGAAGGCATCCACGAGGTGGAGAGCCTGAGAGCGGTTTGTTGGTTGCCTCCCGCCGCTCGTTCCTGAAGAGCACTGGCGCCGCAGACGGCATCCACATTGTGGAGAGCCTGGGAGCGGCTTGTTGATTGCAGGACGTTTGAAATTTGGTGCCTGAGTTGCGGTCACCATTTTGGGGCCGTTTTTCCGTGTGTGCGCCTGAGGCAGCCAAGGACGGGCATTGCGATTCCGCGCGCCCAAAAGGCTGCTGAGTCATTGGCCCTCCCACTTCCCTCACTTCGGTTCTGGCTGACCTAGTGAGAGGATCGTTTCAACGTCTCCTGCTTGCCACACGGCCTGCTCTCGTTGCATTCTAAATCTGTACTTCGACCCTTTGAGTCTTTTCACTTCTATAATAGAATGGCTGACCAATCCACCTCAGGAGGTATTGTAGAGCCATCTACTGATGCTCAGCATTCTGCCCCTGCTGGGATTAGCTCAAGGCCCGGTAGGGCCGCTTCTAGAGCCACCACTCACAAGCCCAGGGACACATCTGGAGCTCCGGATAGGGCCCATAAGAAAAAAGAAAAAACCAAGGCAGCGACTTAGACCACTGGGGAGGGTAGAAATCCCCCCCCACACGTTATTGCCTCAGCGTAGTTCACCGGCTCCAACACCGCAGCCAACAGGGAGCCAGGCCTGGTCTCCTGATCATCCCCTGCCCCTTATTTCTGATGCTGGGGAGAGGGGTTTGGGGGCCCAGCCCCTTCCAGTAATTGCAGAGGCCCGTCTCGGCCTACGCACTGCCACGTGCTGGGCCTTCTGCCACCTTCACCCTTACTGCTGCAGGCCTGAGGCCTATGGAAGGCCAGGACCAGGGCCTTCCCCCAGACCTTTACCAGATGATCTCTGCAGCGATATCCAGGGGGGTGGATGCTGAACTGCTTCGTAGGAATCAGGCTCCTGGGGTTGCCAGTGCCCAAGGTGGGCCTAATCTCCAGGCTCCGCAAGTGGATCTTCCAGATCTCCAGGCAGGCCATTCTTCACCTCTCCCCTCAACTTATAGCGAGGATTCAGCCTTGGTGGAGGAAGAGGAGGTGATAGATAGAGATTTCTCTGATGATGAAGGCCTGATTTTCGATCAGCCTAATTCCTCTGGGTTATTTCGCCCCATGCTATTCAAGTCCTTATTATATAAAGCTAAAGCCACTACCCATATGGGGGAGGTGGCTCCTAAGGACAGCACTGCTGTGGACCTAGACACTACAGAGTGCCTCTTTGCTGAACCAGTCCCACTGCAGGAGGTTATTCCTTCTCCAAAGCTTTTTCTCGACCTTATTCAAAAGCAATGGGACCAGCCGACTGCGGTGGCTCCGCCCAGCAATTGAGACAGGAAGTTGTACACCTCCACTCCTGACCTGGAAAGCATTTTGCAATTCCCAACTGTGGATCAGCCAGTGGCTACTCTGGCCTCCCCTGCACTAATTCCATCAGAAATTTCTGAAGGCTTAAAGGCAGAGGATCGTAAAGCTGAAACAGTCATTCGTAAGACCCATCAGGCTGCGGCCAGGGCCTTACGCGCTGCTACTGCGGCGTCTTTCTTTAATCGAACCTCCGTGCTTTGGCTCAAGCAGTTGCAGGATAGACTTGCCCCTGACGAAGTGCGTCTTCACCAAGACGTTACCAAGATCATGGCAGCCCTGGAATTCTCTGCGGATGCCACCCTTAATGCTGCCAAGTTCGCCTCCCGGGCTGTAGTATCCAATGTGGCATCCCGGCGCCTGTTGTGGCTCCGCCATTGGCAGGCTGATGTTAAGTCTAAGTAGCATCTGGCATCCACGCCCTTCAAAGGCGGGGCATCATTTGGTTCTGTACTTGACCCCATCCTCATAGAGACCAGGGACAAACACAAGGTTCTCCCCTCCACTGGGGGGCGCACTAATAGGAGGCATCAACCCTATAACAGATGCCAGCGATTTCGAGGCGGTGATTCTGGATTCACCGCTGCTCCCTATACACCCCACTACAACAGGGCCTTTACCCTGCCACAGGACCGCAGCCAGGACCGTGCGGGGACCAGAGATAGGGGTCGCCAGCAGAACCAGCCGCAATCCCACAACAGGAGGCCACTGTTTGTGTCCTTTCAGCCATCCTCCATGGGGCAGAAGGTATCTTCCCATACCATCAGCCGATGGTTGAAGGCGTGCATCGCTCTTGCTTATGACAGCCAATCCCGACCAGTTCCCAGGCGCATCACCCCTCACTCTACCAGGAGTGCGGCCACCACAGCGGCCTGGGCCACACAAGCCTTGGTGGAAGAGATTTGCAGAGGCGGCTACCTGGTCGTCGCCATCGCCATTCATCAGACACTACAAGGTTGACGTGTATGCCTCGGCTGAGGCTTCCTTTGGGCGGCGTGTATTACAACCGGTGGTACCCTCTACGGGGGTCCCTGGCCAGCCTGGCTCCCGCCCTGATTCTTAATTGCTTTGGCATGTCCCATGCTTGGATTCCCCAAGCAGCACACAGGAGAACGACTGTTGAC